GGTGGAGGCGGCGGTGGCAGCAGTGGCCGAGGAGAAGGTATGCCTTCAGCAGAAGCAGCAACAACAACAGTCGTATTGGTAGGATGCTGGCCTTCATCCCTTACTGCCATTTCGGTAACGTTCACATTGTTTACTGCGGCTCTGGCTGAGTTGGCGTATCGACATTAGCGTCTTCCATTTCAGCACTTGTAACAGGGTGGGGCGGGCAGTCTGCATTTGATTGTGCGGAGGGCTGATGCTGGCTGCGGTCAAAATTGGTGTCAGGCGATGAGTGGTGGTCTCTTGTGTGTGGGTGGGTGGAGGACCTGCGCACTGAATCACCTTTCAGGAGTGGGTGAGCAATTGCCCAGCAAACCATTTGGAGTTGGTAGCCGACGTTGTCGGCCATGCACATATGCAGACCAGCCTCTAGCCAGGACACCGGGAGGATGGCCCTTGACAAGCATACGTCGTATCAGGGAAGTCATTGCCGCTTTGAAGTCAGTGGTATTGTTACATATATGTTCGAATCTCGTTGGTTGTCCCGTGAGCACACCTGCAGGCTGATGAGCCGGAGCATTGGAGGAAGCACTGGGATACCGTATGACAGGGAACGTCCAGGTCTCGGTCTTACCAAATACACCAATTCGAAGTGAGCCATCTGGCCGAACCAGGATTCTTGCCCCAAGGAAAAGACATGACCCATCTTGCTCAGCAGTGTCTTTCCACTCAAGACCATACCGAGCAGGAGACGGTGGTAATGTCTTCCAGGATAGAATGCCATCAATGAATCGATATGTGAATGCATATGCTTTCGCAGCACGCAGATCTCGCTGGCAAAGATCATCGATGAATTGTGCTTCGTCCCAATAAAGCGTGAGGTTGGCAATTTCTGGTCCAGCGTTAGTGCCAATAGGGATACCGACCACCTGATGGCGCAGAGTGCCATCCCTCGTATAAAGGTAAGTATTAGAGACCGCGAACTGCAGATGTTGCTCTATTTCTGACACCGAGAGGGTGTCTGACCCATATGAAGTAACCCACTCCCTACGATGAGGACCTCCTATAGTCATGTACATATGTACTGGCCTTCTGACCTGTGAGATCCGCCCCAAAGCATAATCATGTGCTTCACAACCAGCATTCAGAACATTGTCAAGAATCCTGTCGTGTGGCAGGTTCGTGTACATAGTTGTAAAGTCCGATGTATGTGGTGTACAGCCTCGAAGGGATTGTGCATTCTGCTTGAGATCCATAATGACTTCCTCAGCACTTTGCACGATCCAGCAACGCCGTAGACCACTTTCTTGATWAAGCTCATTATCCTTACTGCGCAGGGACTTGATCACACCTTGAAGGGCGTAGCTAAGTGAGCGGGAGGCCATTGTTGTACTTGCAAAAGGCTTATGAGGGGGTCTGTTGTGCAGGTCCGTAACTGAAGGTCGGTGAGGTGTTGTGCAAGGTGCAGATCGGGAAAGGTTTTTTCGTTGTGTAACCCCAAGAATCGGATGAAGGGCAGGTGGAGATTTGTGTGCTTTGAGTGCAAAGTAGAGATAGGGCAGGTTGTCAGTATGTCGATAACCCCAACGTTGTTTGAAAGTGCATGGCGTTCGAGGATGCTGGCCACAATCTTCGATGCTTGATTGTAGGTGGAACTGTCAAGATGTTGTGATAAGTTATACTCGTACCAGCGCTTGCAGCAGATTGCCATGTTGTGTGACGTTTTATCGTCAGGTACTATAGCGAATTGCTGTTGTAGCTGCCGAAGAGATGTGTCGGCAGCACGCGAGGCAGTTTGAGTAGGTGCTCGGTACGGTGACGCAGTATATTCTGTTGGCATCTTGAAAGAACTGATGTGCACCATCTGCGCAGCTGAGAGAGATGTCAGCAATGAGAGACTCATTACTGCGTGCTGATCTCATGGTTTCTATAAATTTAGCAATATACTCGTCCAGACCGAGTTTCAATGCTTTCATCACATCTGTGGTGTCGACATTGAGGCGGTACTTAGAGCCTTCAAAGAAGAGAGTTCGTAAGTGTGTCTCTTGTATAATGTAGTCCATTGTGGCTACATGACCATCAACAGTGTCTACACATTGTGGGAATACTAGTCGACAAGGACAATTGCCAGGGTTTGGAAGAGGCATATTGCTTGTTATGTCGAGTGCCACTTCTGTAAAATTACAGAACTGGACACATATGGGTGGCACCATCTTGTCGCAGATACGTATTTCATTGGCAAGAGCAGGCCGTGGATGTAATTCAGCGACCTCTGGAAGCCGAAGGACGCTGCGTAACTGTGTGGTGCGAGCAACCTGATGCATGTGCATGACCTTAATGAAATTTAGGAACGGAATCCTATCATGTGGAGGGCCACAATATGGCTGCCGTGAATACTGTAGACCACGGATCATGCAGTCCAGTTGACGAATGTTAGGTGTGAGCTCGAAGTCTGAGACATTTGTTTGCAACCATTGCAGCAAGCTGGAGCGCCAAGCAGGGGTGGCTCGGGAGAGGGCTCGAGAAATAGATTGCCATTCTGAGTTGGCTGCTTGTGCAAGCATGCGATGCAGGGTGGAACGGACAGCGTAGAATAGACCTGGAGTAGTATCAATCGTCAAGGGTGTGTCTGCATGAACATGTGCTGCGGGGCGAGTGATATGAGGATTTGGACTACCTCTCGACCGAACCCACCTGTTCGAACGATGAGATGGCCTAATAGGTGGTCGTCGTCCTTGAGCGAGTTGTTTCAGATGAATGGTGGGAATGCCAATGCTGTTGTAGACAATAGCGAGCAGAGTATGTAGTTTCCCAACATATATGCGACCAGATGGTATGTGGATAATGGCATAAATAACCCCAGGGGCTGAAGAGCATCCATTCCTGGCTGAATGGTGCTCTCATCGATGCCTCGCAATTGCAGTTCAAATTGTTCCACCTGGGCTGCAGCTGCTACGTTGTGGAGTCGCTTTTTAAACCAATGCCTCGCGTCATAAAGATTAGTGTTCCAATCATGATGTGCAACCCAATCAACTCTATTACATTGTCGTGCATAACGGTGATGAGAAGAAGAGCAAGGGGGGTTACCATAGAGAGGATCATGAGTAGGGCGTGTGATTCGTCCTGCACCACTAACACGGGAATCCCCGTTCAAGTCCCTTTCCTGATTCTCACCTTGTATCGTCGACATCATAGGTATGGTATTTTTCAAAACCAGGAAATTCTCTTCAGAAAGTAAAAAGAGGGAGTGTAGCATAAGGGTAAAGCCTCGGTCCAGGGTTTGTGTGTTTGTGTTCTCATGTTCGCTGCACACAACTCCACAAAAAGAACCATGACTGTGCCAGACTGTTTCATCGAACTTTGTGGTGTGCAACTATCTAACCATCAGATGGCTCACAACATGTGCTTGAGAGAGTGTTAAGCTTCGATGTCATCGACCTGTGGCTCAGCAGTAAGATAATATTTGGTCAATGCTTACCTAGGCGTAACAACGTGGCGTACAATACAGGCATCTCACACGTCCCGCAGATGGAATGACGACGTACATCACCTGTCCCGCAGATGGGAATGACAATGCACATCACATGTCCCGCAGATGGGAATGACAATGCGCATCACATGTCCCGCAGATGGGAATGACAACGCACATGACCTTCATCAGCGAGAAGTCCCTGTATGGTACTGGTTGTGGTCTGGATAAAGAGAATCAGATTAAGGTGATCACCTCCTGGACGTATGTGTATGCAGCAACAGGAATACACTTCAAGTTGCCGGGGAGCAGTTAGGGTATTGTGGGATCAAGTGTTGAAGGGGGTACAAATAACTGGTAGGGTGTTACAAGTGACCTGGTGTAGTTTTTTTTTTTTTTTCCTTTTACTTTTAAGCACCCAACAAATGCACGCTCTGAGTCGAGCCCTGACTTAGGCTCTCTATCGCATGCACATGTTTCAACCATGTGAAAGCCAGGCTGCCAACGTATCTCCGCTGAGTCTTTTTGCTGATAGGTCAGCCTGGCGGTGGTCAGGACGGACATGTCCAACTGGAGAGAACACTTGTACGATCATTGGGGGACTCTCTTTAATTGAACTCCCACTGTGTCATCTGGATGCTGGTGATAATGCTCATTTGATTGTCATGTCGATTTACTCTGATTTTGACTCAAGGCGACAGGATTCCATGCTGAATTTGACTGTCTTTGCGGATACCGCTAAATACATCTATGATCATAGGGGTTCCCAGCAAATAGCCCAGTGGAAAGAGAGAACTTTACAGATACCCTTCACTCCAACGAATCGACATCTAGATCTACGGTACGGTTCCACTTTTGAACACCATGTCCTGGTTGTAGGGTTAAGACTCAAGCCTTGGCTCTTAAGGCTGAGGTCACCGGTTTGAACCCGTGCTTGCATGGAGGAGGGCCTTAGGCCGAGAAGCACAGATCAACTACAGTGAGCATGTGATGCTCTTCTCCATGAATTTCTCCATGGTATGGAGTAATATCTTCAACTTTCCTGCCAGCTTACGCTACGGTGCGCTCTTGCGAGCCATGAGGCATGGGGTCAAGGCGGCTCTGAAAAGTTGCTTCGCTTGTGATGTCTGAGGCTCCTTCTTCGAGTGCGTCATCATTGTAAACTACGGTGGGTCCCAATTAGATGAGTGGGATGCTTTAAGCCACATTGTGCGAGGGGACTGATGTTGGCTAGGCTTTGATTGATTGAATTGAAAGCCCATTGAAATTGGTTGTGAGACAGCCCACCGAAAAAATAGGGATAAAAACAGTGTTGCATACCCCAACAGTCGGCGCACCTTGACTGGTCGGCTGGCGGCACCTACCGTTCGGGGGTCATCGGCACCCTGCATTAAAAAAAAATAATAATAATAATTAAAAAAAATTGTTGGGGGTCCTGAACCCCCAATAACCCCACCAACACCCTCACACCTGCCCCCAATACCCCCATACACCCCCCCCAACACCCCCAAACCGTCCCCCAATACCCCCTATACCACCCATATACCCCCATGTACCTCCCCGCCCACCCCCCCCATACGGCCTCCCATCCCCAAAAGGTTCTTAGCGGATTTGGGCTGTACTCAGCAAGCGCAGAACAGCCCCCAACTCAGATTTGAAAAAAATAACTGGATGCCACTGGATGGTTGTTTCCTGACTGGTCGGTCGGCCCTACTGGCCAGCTGCAAAATGGTCGGCGGTCAGGGTCGGCAGGTATGCAACCCTGGATAAAAAAGTACTTTATCTACAGACGAGTTTATGCCCAATACGTTACTGGAACCATACTGAATCATTATTGATGTAAAGCACCAATACGGAGAGTACTAGCACCTGCAATTGTAAAAGGAACTATGATATTCCCAGGTTGGATCATTTTCCTTTGTTGCTATATGGAGATAGTGTTGAGATAGTGCTTTTTGCCCAGACTCGTAGAACAGCAGAAAGGTAATCAGTACTAATCACCATTGCACAATTTCTGAAACACTCCCTTCTTATCTTGGTTCCTGAATACGACGAGTCCCAATTATCAAGTTCTGTCATGGCACGGTTAGCGCAGAATACCAGTTGTTCTGAATGCTTGTGTGCATTTTTGTGTACAGGTGATCCTACGACCAATGAACAAAACTCGGGGATTTGGGAACCCTATTCCAACAAAGAAAACGTCAAAGGAAAATAAATGCAGACAATTTTGTTTGTCCTCACCTGTGACCTCAATACGCAAGCAGATTCGACCTCGTGTTCCATAGATTAGGCATGGAGTGCTGTCACTGCTCACATTACAACATGAATAAATCAAAGATCGTTTTTCCATCAGTTATGATCAACATCTATACATCAGAGTGTGGTGTTGCATCAATTAGCTTGCTGATCTACTCGCGACAAGGGCATTTTTTTAGCACACCAATGGACAGGCTGGAGCCATATCCACACAGTTTGCCAGCAGTCGCTCTGAACACTGACCTGCAAGATCAGCACGCTGCAGGTCTGCAGGCCATCTGACCGTTGAACTTCAAGACCTGCTACCGTCTTCACCCGAATAGAACACCCGGTCATTATAGCGGCATTTGGCCCAACTTTCAGTCCAGATGCAGTGATAATGAGCGGGCGTTCTATTCGGGTGAAGACAGTAGCCAGTGACCTGCTGGCAATCTGACCACTGATCTGAACTTGTCTGCTGGTCTTGCAGATCAAGGGTTAGATTGCTTGCAGCCATTGGATCAACAAGCAGAGAATAACTTTATATTTGCGAAGATAATGCAGCCATCTGGATCTCAAATCTCATGCCCAAGTGTGCGGTTTCTTCATCGCAGCAGGCCCTTGCTCCATTGTCTCGAGCCTGGACCATTTGTAACAACTACCTCAGAATGATCCCTGCCATTCCCTTTGATGGTTTTTCGATAGCATTTCCTTCACTCCATTTATGTATTCAGAGTATATATATGACGGTATTATGACGGAATTCACAACGTTCTGCTTATATTCCAGAGTTTACCTTATGAGTGCATCAATTCACTCACACACTAGTGTTCCAGAGATAGTAAAAAAACTTTTGGCACAACTTTCAAGGCTACTTTTGAAGCAAGAAGCAAATCTGTTATTTCGGAATTACAACAACTCATCTGCAATGTGCATCATTTCACTCCGACACTAGTGTTCCTGAACTGGTCTTTATCACCACTTCAACCTCAAGTGGTTTTCTCCGAGAGGGATCATCAAGCAACAGCAACATACCTGAACCATGCACCACTTGAGGTGAGAATCAAATCCGTTCCTTCGAACCAGACCTGGTTATCTTGCACAACCTTCTTAAAACCCTGTTAGTTGACACAGAAAAATGGAAAGGAAACAAGGCCACAGCAATACCATAAGCATCTGGACAGAGGAGAAAGTTGTAGTAGGGTGGGCGGAGTGGGAGGGAGGGCATGAAAAAGACAGTGGAGCAGGGCAAAGAAGAACGTGTTCTGAGCAACACACAAGGCCCACCAGACGCCCAAACTGTACTGGTGCGAGTCATCATCCAGAAACAGACCTGTGGAGATGGACAGGAGCCCAGGGGGTATGGGTTGATTTTGCAATATATCGACCTGTGGAGATGGACAGGAGCCCAGGGGGTATGGGTTGATTTTGCAATATATAACTCTACACTTGTGGGTCATAGGTCCCGTGGCACAGCTCATGCGTGCACATTCGAATAGGTGCAACAATCTGGCAAATAGACAACCTTGCCGACAGGACCACAGACGCAGATGTCTGACATGTGCTCTGGCAAGGTGGTGTGCGAGTAGAGAGAGAAGTCGCCTGCAGTAGATGATCACTACATATATAACTATCGCTAAGTTCCTCCCCGTGACAAGCGGACGATCGGGGCCCTCCGATGTTTTGCTGCACGACGGTCCCAATCTATTCGTTTTTTCTTAGAAGTTGAAGCGTTGCCAGGGCCAGTTGCACCACGCTTGGTACTGGGCCCTCGCACCGGAGCCGGTACCACACAAGGTACTGGGCCCCCGCGCACCAGAACCGGTACCACACAAGGTACTGGGCCCCTGCGCTAGCACCAGTACTGTCCGGGCCAGGTAACAAACTTTTTCCAATTTCGCTCGACTATGACTTCGCTCTACGTTGGAGACACGTGCACGCTCACACGCACACACACACACACACACACAAGCACGCACGCCGGCACACCCACACGCACGCATGCATGCACACACGCACACACGCACGCGTGCATGCACACACGCACACATGAACGCACACACGCACGCACGCACGCACACACAAACCTGGTGAGTTCTTGGCCATCAGTACAGTTCGTCTTGGGCGGACTGTCGGGGTTCAACCTCCTGATGAGTCGGTGGATGTCCGACGAAACAGTCTGGCTGAGTCATTTTGTGAGTTCTGTATAGCGTACATAACAACACTCACACATACTCAGACTCACCCACACAGAACACACACCCACACACCCACCCACACACACACACTCACCCAGAACACACTATCTCTACATCCTGAATGTTGGACGCTGAGGCTTGAGCTGTGCAGCTTCAAGGCTTTCGAACGACCGCACCTTGATGACTGACGGTGAGTTTGTTATTCGTGTCTGTTGCTTTCATTTTTTGTGGTCTTGGAACTATGAGAGAGAGAGAGTGTGCATGTGTCCGCACGCGTGTGTGCGTGTGTGTGTGTGAAAGAGAGAGAGAGAGAGAGAGAGAGAGAGAGAGAGAGAGAGAGAGAGAGAGAGAGAGAGAGAGAGAGAGAGAGAGAGAGAGNAGAGAGAGAGAGAGAGAGAGAGAGAGAGAGAGAGAGAGAGAGAGAGAGAGAGAGAGAGAGAGAGAGAGAGAGAGAGAGAGAGAGAGAATCCATCAACTTCTTGGCAAACATTCCATTCTTATTTGGGGCTTAGCCGCAACAGATCCCCTAGTAGGATGATAACAATCTCAGGTGGGGATTGAGGAGGAGAACGCCTGGCGGGGAACAGCAAGAAGATACTTAACCATTGCATCTGGATTCCGAGGTAATTCCCATGGTCTTTTTCTTCTTTATTAAAAACAAGTGGATGCCCGCTGCAGCTTTGCTTGCGGCATGACAAAATGTGTCCAGCTGTGGCGAGCGCAGCACAGCACGACGCGAGTCAGATGCACGCAATGCAAATGCGGCACCATGGGGGCAGGGCAGGTAGAACCACCATGTACGCAAAACACACACACACACACGCACACACACACACACACACACACACACACACACACACACACACACACACACGCGCACACACACACACACACACACACACACACACATGTTTTGGTATGTGCCTGGTATGTGATTCTGTGGGGCAGGCTGGAGTTGTATGCTTCGGCGGCAGACAGGTGAGTGGGAACTTTGCGCAGCATGCAGTCAGTACCCGAATGCTCCATGCGAGGGCTGACACTTTCCTAAATGGAAGTGGCCTGCCTGCTACGTATGGCCTGGCTGCACTGGGCCCCTGCCCAGAAGCTTCCGGAAGAACCTGAGAGGATGAGCTCCGGTCCAAACGAATCAGGCCCAGGGCCTGTAACGGTTGCCTGTGTCCAACTGCCCGCAGCCTGCGTTCGGCCCATGTTGTGTACCTGGCCCAGGGCCTGCCTTGGTTACGTACGAAAAAGGCAGCCAGGGCCTGGGCGCTCTCAACCAACTGGCGCTGTGCAACTGCCTGAATTTCCCCAGTTGCCTGGTAGAGGTAGCCGAAAAATAGGCCTCTTGGCCTTGGTCGGGCCTGCCTGCACTTAGGGCGGCCGACAGTGCTGCTTACAGGGCCCAAAGGGGCTCGCCGGGGCCTTATTCCTCGCAGAAGTATGGGAGTATGCAGGGAGCAAGCGATATGAGGAGCTGACACCAGACCGAGCTGTCTCCTCCTTGATCCGACTTCCCTCCAACACCAAGGGAAAAGGAGTTTAAACGACCCAAGATAACATCAACAGCTCCCGGTCGGGAAACCCATTCTTCTGAACAACTATTCGTCCATTAAGCACAGTAGTCTGAAATGCCCCTACATGTTCCTCTGGACTAATATTGACTTCTAGTGACACCAGACCGAACTGTCTCCACCTTGATCAGACTTCCCCGCAACACCAAGGGAAAAGGAGTTTAAAGGACCCAAGATAACATCTACAGCTCCCGTTCGGGAAACCCATTCTTCTGAACAACTATTCGTCCATTTAGCACAGTAGTCCGAAATGCCCCTACATGTTCCTCTGGACTAGTATTGACTTCTCTCCATAACTAACAAGTACTCCTAAAATGCTGGGGAGCATCCATTTGGTTGTGGCTGACAAAGTCGGAAACATGGCCTTGCTCAGTTGGTACACCTATGAACTGTTGAAACAACAAACGCGCATTGGAATCCAGATGGAACTAGTTGAAGAAAACTGTTGAAACTGTTGAATGCATTTCTGAATTACCTGGGGGTCGGTCAAATCCACAATGATGAATGCATTTCTGAATTACCTGGGGGTCGGTCAAATCCACAATGATATCACAAGGCCATCACCCTTCTGAAAAAGAGAAACATGCATAACGTACATACATCTGTTCTGCCGATCGATACAAGACCGGTACCTGGGCACCTCATCCTTTGTAGGTCAGGCGACTCAGGCCTTTTTTTCATGCATGAAGTCCTTTCAAGTTCTAACTTTTAACACTCTTCGGAGGCTTTTGAAAAAAACGACAAAGTCGATCCAAAGCAATAGCCTGTGGAAGGCCCACTCACCACGCTGCCATTCTCATCTGTTCCGTCAAAGATGAAATTAGCATTGATCTTCAATTCCCCTCTAGAAATCAAGTCCTGTCCATGTGAAAATAATGCAACAAGCCCAGCAAGATGGCCACATTACAGCCAAGCCCACAAATACACCACTTCAGCAAGTATTATCTCTTTTGATCATACCCTTTTTCATTCCTTTCTCCCGTTTTGAAATTTTTGATCCTTTCTGCATAAATGATCCTTGCAAACAGCACAGGGTGACAAAATCACAAAAAGCCACTAATGCTCAAAAGCATTCCTGTGAATTTCTTGATAATTCTTCCTGCCTTGTCTCTGTAGTTGCTTTTGTTGAAACTGGTTTACAATTCCACATTAGTCATCTTTCACACCATGAGGGGTCTCCAAGAGAGCTACCGGTAGATCCAGAGCCTGAGCTCCACTCTGTCCAAGTGCATTCACTCAAAGATGGGTCAACACCAGAGGGAATATTACGAGTTAAAACTTGATAGTTATTTGAAACACTCCTTCCCCCACCCCCTCATAATAGGGAATTACTTCAATTACAAAGAAAAAGAACTCGTTGGGAGCTTCACGGCCCGACCCAGTGGTCTGCAGCGCACCCTGTACTTGACATTTGCTGAGTTAGAATTTCTTTTTCTTTTTCTTTTTGGGACCATTTTGGCATTTTTCTATTTACGCCTGTCATCCTTGCACAAGGGCCATGCTAATCATATCTGTACCGTTCCAATTTTAACGGATGTCCTGAACGACAGAGTCCTACTAATTTGTAAATCTCACAGCAACAAATGCACACTTCTTTTCCTGAGTTTTATACACAAAACAAGAACCATTCAAGACTTCAAATACCAGAGTGCGGCAATTTGGGAATCATTTTAGCAGCAGGGAGGTTCTGGTACGTTTCCTTTTGGACCAAACTCTTCTTCTGTGTTTTAGTGCCTCTTCTTTGGTGGGCATGCGGAGCTGTGATGGGCCAGGCTTGTTTCATGCTTAGATTTCTGAGACGTATGAGAAATCAAAACCCAGAATGTAGAAAAGTCCTGCCAAACTAGCAAAGGGATTTCGAAACTCGAGGCTACTAAATAAGTGTGAGGTGTTCAACTGAGTCCTCAACATTTTTGCATGGGCTAGACTGTCGGAGTCATATATGAAATTAACCGGAAATTTCAGGAAAGTAAGAGAGATTAACAGAATCCTCGGCAGCCGCATGCTCGGAATGTGAATAGACTCAATAGAGCATTCTCCGTTGTATTTGAAACTTGAATACAAAAGTAACAAAACACCATTCTCTGTGGACTTCCAAACAATTATCCTCACTCTCCCCACCCCCCTCCTCACCTACCCTTAGCCCGAAAAGATATTAACTGGAATGAGCCTGTGGAACTCTTGTACCGTCGAACCAATAGCATCAGAAGATTCAGAACCACATCTGACAAAAGAGAAAGGGATGTGTATGCAACAAACTGGCCCTCAAAGATGCACTGTCAACCAACAACGAGAAAGCGGTCCATCCACATGGTGTAACTTCTGAAGAAGTGTCGTACATACCCTGACTGCAAAGAGCATAGTAATGATTGGCCCTTTTGTGTCAGACACGCCACGACCATACAGATACCCATCAACAGCAAGCAGGTCAAATGGATCTGTACTCCAGTCCTCTTTCCGGGCATCAGTTGTGTCGTAGTGGCCGCAGAAAGTCAATGTCGGATTGTTTCGGTCCTGCAGACAAAATACATCCCACAGTTGCCTTCCAAAATTATAAATTGGGAATCAACAAACCGCCACAGCAATGGAAACAAATGCAGCAGAGAGGCAACCTCATTGGGTCCTTTAACACCTTCGTATGCGCTGATCAAGAGATTCTAAGTACACAAGAATCCAGGTCTAATCTTTGGTATTCAGGGTAGACAATTGCACTAAAAGCTGAAGATATTGAAGCAAGAGCAATCATTCTGAAAGAACACAGACAAGCCAACAAGAGACTGGTGGGCAGGCATGCAGACGAGCAGAGTAACAGAGAGGCAGACAACAGACCAACAGACAGATAGCGAGACAGACAGACAGACATAGAGAGACAGAGAGAGACGATGTGCCAGCTGAGGGTGTCGATATGAAGCATGAGAGAGAGAGAGAGAGAGAGAGAGAGAGAGAGAGAGAGAGAGAGAGAGAGAGAGAGAGAGAGAGAGAGAGAGAGAGAGAGAGAGCGTGCCTGTAGAAGGGTGTCAACAAGAAGCATGAAAGTACATGAACTCGTTGGGATTGAGAGCCAAGCCTCCTATGCATGTGACAAGAAAGTCAAAACTGCATGAAGCTTAAACCAGCAGTACCCTGCCTACAGTGCCTCGGCAAAATTTTGGTCACTCCAGGCTGAACCTTTCGTGGCCACTGCTTGAATTCAAGGCTGAACCTCCCTCCGAAACATACCCTACAAAATCCTAGCCAAGCTACTCGCCATTGGAATAAATCAAATCACTGGAGGCAGCGCCCATCTAGACCAGACGGGTTTTATCCCTGGTAGGTTCATACTAGATAATGTTCTGACCGTATGCGAATCCACTAGGATTAGCCAAAAGAAGATGACAGCAGCAATCTTGTTTTTTGACTTTGAGAAAGCTCACGACCCGGTTACCTGAAAGGCTGAAACTTTCTACAGACTTGCATGGAAAAATGGCGGTAGGTCAAAACTTCCGGAAGTGGGCGAGTGTCCTCTACAACGACATCCAGGGGATAGTTCAAGTGAATGGTTTTGTTTCCAACCCCTACAAAATGATTAAGGTCGGTTAGGCAGGGCGACCCTCTGGCTGCCCCTACCTTCCTCTTCGTAATGGAGGCCATTGCAGTCTTGCTGAGAAAAGACGCCTCAATAGGAAAACGGAGAACATTAAGGACGAAGGAGGACAAACACTCAACCTCCCGACCACCCTTCTCTCCGCACACGACATGACAGTCCTCATCAGAGCATCGAATTCCCCATGCAGGCACTGACAAGAAATGCGCAAGCCTTTCAGTTAGCCTCCAAAATGAAATTCAACTGGTAAAAAATGACCAGGTGGTGGATCTCAGAAGCCTCCCCCCAACTAGTCAAAAATGATCGAAAGGAAAAACAGGCAAATGAAAGGTTGCAGGCTGCACGGGGAGAGAAGGGGAAGAGATTAGCAAACATAATCATTTACTTATTCGCCCACTCAAGCAACCGCTTTTCACGACGGAAAATGTTTTCGGCAACGTTACCCCCATTAGCTTTCCGAGAACCACTGGGCTTGTTCCTTCCTGAGGCACAATCAGCTTCGCCTCTGCTCCTAGATCCTGCAGAAACTCTGCCAGAAAATTGGCACAACGCCAGATCTGCATGTGCAGAGAAGAAGCAAGCAATTACGTTTCCCAGTCAATTGCTGTTGCCACACACTGAACACTTGTCAGTATAGGATTATCATTGCATCCCACTTGCCGACACTCCACTCGGGGCACCTATCCCAGCAGGGATTATTCTCTTCTGCTGTCGGTAACACCAGAAAAAATGGAAGGGAACTTGCCCCCAGTGCACCTACCCAGCACAAATCTGGCAAACAGGGTCATGGCTGCAATCACAAAAAGAGGACCTTGGTATACATGTGAACATCAACATTGCATGATATGTCTTTTGAGCAATTCCACGCAGAAATATCACTTGCAGTCTGTCTTGCACACTGGAATACCAGAGTTCTGGGAAAGAGCCGTTCTTTATCCACGCCCATTCTCAGCCATCAGAAAACTTCTCAAATGGCAGGAACAGGACATACCTGGTCACTTCCCAGATGTGCATCCTTTGCTTATCTACCTTGTCCAGGTACTAGTCCCCTGGGGTGTTAAATCCTAGGAGGATCATTGCCACAGGCATGGTCTTCAAGCTTTGGGAAGAAACACCCCCAGGGAACCTACTAGAAGCTCAGTCGACAAATAATATTCCGGAGTCCCCAAGTGTTAACATGTGTTCTAGCTAGACAAGACAGAATCTCTGCATCTGGAGGATCCAAGAAGAGTTACTAAGAGGTCAGACCCTCAACAAAAGCATAGGCCCCAGACGACTTCAGTGATAGAGCAGATAGGGAGTAGAGTTCCAGCAAAACTTTAGCAGGAAATAATAACAATCGCTAGTGCTAGCTCCACAAACCAGCCAATAGCAGGACATCCAGAAAGCGCACTCATTAGGGCTTAGGGTTTTAGCCAGACCAACAAGCAGCAGCCAGGCTAACCGCTCCAGCACTTACCGGCCCACGGAGGTCGGCATGAAACCCGAGGTAGACAGACCAAAAGCACCAGTACACCACATATCGGCCCGCGGGGGTCAGCATGAAACCCGCACCACTTCGGACGCCGCCAATATTGTTTTTCAACGGCGGGCCTGGCTGCGCAGCGCTTCCAAGTTTTGCTTGTGGCAACAAGGCACAAGCAACAAGGTTGCACCCCTGCCGACCGCCGACCCCGACCGCCGACCGTATTGCAGCCGACCAGTAGGGCCGACCTGTCGGCGGTCTGCCAACCAGTCAGAAACAACCATCCACTGATTTTTTTTCGAATCTGAGTTGGGGGCTGTACTGCGCTTGCTGAGTACAGCCCACATCAGCTGAGAAACGTTTGGGTATGGGGGTGGTCATGGGGGGGTTGGGGCTGGAGCATACCTGCAGCTCAGATTAAAAAAAAAGAACCGTCTGTTACGTGTGAGAACACGAGAGAGAGAGAGAGAGAGAGAGAGAGAGAGAGAGAGAGAGAGAGAGAGTACATGCAAGAGAGAGAGAGAGAGAGACAGAGAGAGGAAACAAATAGCTCCTTAACATTTATTTGAAAACCCCTGGGGGTCATTTGAGAGGCCCTTGCACATAATTAGCAAGGGCTACCTCACCGTGAACGAGGTAATGCTCATTGCAGAGTCATGGCACGCCAAGTATATATGCTGTTGATTCACATTAAGGTCCGTGTTTCAGGAGTTATGGGAACACTGACCACGCGAGTTTCTGGGCAATAGAACGCCAACTCACCACGTGCTTTCCAGGGCTTCCCTCCAGTACTCACCAAATGTGCAAAACTAGAATGAATGTTCTGCTAAAACATGGAACCATACGCCGCCATATGATTTGTCTTTTGCGCAAGTGGTGACGAGTGGAGCAAGGCCCTTAGGGCCACTGCTCGTAGAAAAAGGAAACAAAAGAAAGAGAGGAATGAATCTTCTGCTAGAATATGGACTCATACGTCGCCATATGTTTTGTCTTTTGTGCAAGTAGTGACGAGTGGAGCAAGGCCCTTAGGGCCACTGCTCGTAGGAAAACGAAACAAAAGAAAGCGAAAAACTGCTGGAAAGCAGACCTGACTTCGGATCCAGAACATATATTGCTGGCCTGCTCCATTCTCACATGAAATTTGCTGAACGTCTCTTGAGACGTTGGGACCTTTGCAGATGCACTGAGGTCCTTCGCGAAAAGGACAATTCAACAAGGAAAACGTGTGCTCAATTTTTTTTTCTCACCATTGGCTACCTCAGCCAGCCCTCTCCAAAACTTTTTTTACTCTATTTATTGGGGTGCATGCGCATGGTTATGCGTGCACTAGGCGCCACACGTGCGTAGCTCGCCCGCACGCGATGCGCCGGAGTATAGGGGCGATAAGGGTGTTGGCGGCTGTTCGGGGCTGTTGGGGTGGTATATGGGGTATTGGGGCGCGCTATGGGGGTGTTGGTCATATTATTAGGGCTTCTGGAACCCATAAAAAATAAAAAATAAATGTGGGGTGCCGACGACCCCCGACCAGTAGGTGCCGACCAGCCGACCCGTCGGCGGGTCGGCAGCCGACCAGTCAAGGGTCGCCGACGGTCGGGGTGTGCAACACTGTGTGGCAACAAAAACTTTCTGCAAGGCTGGCGCCGTGTACTAGCGGTTTAATGCAAATCTGACAGCCAACTAGCTGAGAGGAACAGACTAGTCCAGCTCTTCTTTGGTGTGTTGCAACAGTTAGAGAGATATAGTAAGAGTCGGGTTAGCTACCGCATGTCAAGTAAGTCAGACATACTTAACTTAGGCAGGGGTGACGGGTGGTACATCCTTCCCTCGAGACGTAATCAATGCCGTCCACTCGGGCCTCTCCACCGTAATGGGGAAGAGCGTGCGTGTGTAACTAGTGTAATTTTTCTAACTTGCTCCCCAGAATGGAAAGGAGCCAGAAGCCGCAATGTTCTGTTTTTTTGTAAAAAAAAACAAAACAAAACAAAAAAGGGCATACCTGGTCACAACCTGTTGTCGATTTATCACTGCTAACTGTGCGAAACCTCACAAACTTGCGAAGCGCCTCCTGCATCACTCTATGTTCCTGATGAGCCGTCAAATCCTGTTACACAAGGGATGAGGAGGGGGGATCCACCAGAGAAGCAGAATACAAACATCAAACAGTCGTTACCTCACACGAAGACCAGACAAGACCTGACCTCTGCATAAATGATCCATCAAGCTGGCACCCAGGGTGACTTGTCTCTCTTCCATGGCCACCTCATGACCAGTTCATAAAACTGCAACATTCTTCTACATTGGAAAAAGGACGTACAGAATTCATGCAAACACCACAGTAGCAATCAATATACAAGGGGACATTCAACGATTGTAGTCTACAAGAGCTGCGACTTTCAACAACCACTGTCACAGTATGACATCGGCTGGAAGTAGAAACAATAATTTGAGATCGGAATGTCAACGTGACACAGGGCTTCTTACATGACCAGAAGGTACAACTGCAACAATTTCCGGCAAAGAATGGCCACTGGTGACCACGTACCTTTGACAAGGGGCATTTGAATTGCCTAGGGGATGCAGGCTCACTCTCACGCTTTCCTTCAGGTGTATTGCTTGTCTCTACATCCCAAACCAAAATCATACCATCACTGCAAGAAGAGAGCATGAACCATGAAAACAAGGAACAGGGAAAATAGAGAAAACATGTAAGGGGAAGAGGTGCAACCACCAATTGTGCATCCCCTATCCACTTTCAACATCACAAACAAGAACGGACTCAGAAATTCTTCGCCCATTGAGATGCATATTGCTGAACTTCCAAAAAATGGTCCTGTGGGGCACTAAAGGTTAAGCAACCAGTATCCATGGGGGTGGGTCTTCTGGGCCTGATGGTTTTTAAGAGGCACTGCATGAACCTCTACAATCAAGTCAAAATTAGATAGGCCATGTAACAGCCATGGGTTTGCACTGGTGCTTCAAGCCACCAGTTGTTCTGCAGCTGCGCTTCTCAGCCAGTCCCTAAGAAATCGGAACCGTGCACGATGTGCCTGGTGCTGCCAACCTTTTCCCAACGGGCACTCGGAGCCTTCACACAGCTCCTTGTTAACCGCTGGGTTTTTTTCCAAAGGCTGGGCCGCGAACTGGGGCTTTCAAGGCAGCTTCCAACTTCCAGACAATGTTGTCCCATATTTTGCAAGGCCATCAACATTACTGGTCCTTCAAAGACATCCACCACGTCCAACTTGCAGAACATATTGTCAATCACGTCCCACTCTTCTGTATGTGATTTCAGCTCCAAGCTCCTCGGTCCCATGGATGATTGCTGTTTGCGTACGGACGAGCCAGCACATCCAGACAAAACACAGCCTATGCACGTTCGTCCATCATTTCATCACGTATATCTATTGTCTCTGCATTCCAAAACAGAATCGTACCATCACCGCAAGAAGAACGAAAGAATCGCATACCACGAGCAACATTGCAGCTTCTGGCAAAGACGCGAGGACACACTTGTGAATCAAAGGACGCCATCTCATTCCTTTGTAAAAGGTCGCATTTTCACCTCAATCCGTTTTTTGCTACCTGCATAGGCGTTGCACATTTGTATGGTTTATTTTATTTTTCACTTTCCGTTACCTTTATTCCTCGATGGGCCGGCAATGGCACATTTCAACCTCTAGCAGCACTTCCTCACTCCAACATCATGTCCAAAGAATCTTCCAGGCCCGGCATCCATCCATACTCTTCCTTCTCTTTTGTGTGCAAAGCATCTAGTGTGTCGCCTCCACAACTCTCTCCTCCACCCCCATGTGGGCAATGCATACTGTAACCGATTCCCCTCACTCCACCTCCCCTTCTCCACCTGATCACCCCTTTCACATTCCCCCGGCTCACTCCTTAAGTGTGTGTTAATTTTCTATTCTCAATTCCCTGCCCAATGAAAGAAAAGCATCTCCCCTTTGTATTCGAAGCATCCTGTCCCCCCTGACACCTCCCATCTACACTCCCATATGTGCAACCCATCCTGCAACCCCACTTGCATTCCGTTTCCCCCTCCTCCCCCAGGCGATCCCATCAACTCCCCTTGATACAGCGTACAGTAGAGCGAGGGAGAGGGGGTGAGAGAGAGAGAGTAAGGTCTCCTTTTTCTTAGCAATCCAGCAGATAATTAGAATGATCAACAGATGTATTCTGCCCGCAGGTTGAGGAGGGGGGTGGTAGAGAGGAGAACATGCATTACAAGTTCTAAAAGCCAAAAAAGTTGAAAAAGTTCAAAAAACAATGTCTCATATCACCCATCAAAATTGCAACATTAGAAGATTATAAGGCCCACGTGCAGCAAGGACGACACTCACAAGTCAAGAAATGGGCACATTGAAGGGGGCGGGGGGGTGAAGGTGGGAGGCGGGAGGTGGGAAGTGGGAAAATATGGTTGAGTAGAGGTGCTTTACCGAGTTCCACTCACAATCCCGTTAGCAGTGCATGCCAACGAAAGGAGATTCATGCTTTCCTCCACAAACACTTGGAGGCATTCATAGGTGTCCAAACACCACATTCTGAATGTGAGACAGACAGCACAGCAGGCAGAAAATCCAACAAGCCATTAGCTGTATACTCCAGTGAATGCTCAACAAACGGCAAACACAGAGCACCACTTTCAAGCAATAAAGGACCCACAATATGCCTACTTTGGCAAACGCGCCTTTGCAGTCTACGACTCTGTGAGTCTGTGTAGCACACAGAGGAAGTTTGGGAATATCTATGGCCACAGGTTAGCCACATCGGGGTTCACCGATTCATCCACAGCACGCGGGAATCCCACATCCTAATGCAGCACCAAACTGCTCAGCAGAAAACACCCACTTCTTGTGGACCTGAATATTTGCAGAAACAACTTCCTTTGGACATGGAGATGAAAACCAGATGCTTAGTATTCGCTAATGCACCGGAAAATGTGCAACAACAGCTTCCTTCGCAAAGACAGAGATGACTTAAGGTCCTTGATATTCATTCATACAGTTTAGCATACTCTCACATGCTAAGGCGATACAATCCTGACAACTATCCTGGAACACAATCAGCATGGAAACCAGGGAAAGGGGAGAACGGAGAGAGCACACGAACCTGATGGTGTGGTCTGCAGAAAGACTGTAGAACTCACCCCTGTAACCTGAAAATTCCAATAGCATTTACACACTTCCAATCAGTGCAGAGACGATCATTGAAGGATCACATGTTTATCCAACATCCTATCTTATATGTTCGCAGTATACACACATAAACTCGCTTGCAAGGCATAACCGCAGCAGATTTCCAGTCCTTATACTATCCCAAATACCTTCTGGAATCTGTAAAGGCCACGGGCCAAACCAGCCAGCCCCAGAGGCCTAAATCAGAAAATCAATACATAACATAACCAAATTAAGAAGCTTGGCACACGAGAATAGAAGTAGAACGGGCTAACTTAGGCAGGGGTGAAGGGGGGTACATCCTTCCTAACGGAAATAATCAATGCCATCCTTGGGACCTTCCCACCATAAGGGGGAGGAGCGTGTGTGAGTGCTTATTGTAATTCAGTTGACTTGCCGGGGGAACAGGAACCGGACTGATGCTCCCCAGAATGGAAAAGGAGCCAGAACCGTAAGGTTCTGTTTTTACAACAACAGAAAAAAAGAAGCTTGACACACAATTCATTCTTCCCGAACACAGCATACAATTTCCATCACACTGCGCTCTCTGATTGTATTTGATCTAACGAATGCAATCGACAAATATTCATTTCAATTTTATTGCATTTCCACCATGATGCTTCAGTAGATTTCCGGTCCTAATTAAGCCATGACTATAACCCAAATACCTTCTGGAAACTGCAAAGGCCACTAGCTAAACCACCCTTCCCCAGAGACCGAAATGGACCAGAAACCACTTTCCATAGAACCAGGATGGACCAGAAAGCACTTTTCCATAGAAAAGGGAGGCTTGTCGCAAGATTTCCATGTGTGGTACTGGGTTCCCAAGAGGTTGCAGGTTCCACCCATCACTCAATTGGATAGAGAATTCAGGTGACGGTGGTTTGGACAAACCGAAGACAAGGGAACGTGATTGGCGGTTTTCCATTGGGGATAGCGTTGACTTCGGAAATGGCAAAACAGAGAGATCATTGCTTACCCACTTCCAACCCCAAAATGTCGCTTGTATGGCCAGTGATTGTCGTTATGCACGTCAGGGTTCCTAGATTCCACACCCTGATAGTGTTGTCCCTTGAACCTGCCCAAAGCCAGAGCCATAAACATAAGGAGGAGAATTACTTCCAAAGTCCAACACAAAAGCCCAAATCGAGGTAAGATCAGCGATGCTAAATTGCTACAAGATCCAGCATCCTACAGAAATCCACAACCCTTTCTTCATTGCTGAAGCTTGTTGATTACATATTCTTTCCATCTGCTTTGTTCTTGTTTTCATTGCAGCTGCAAAGCTGCAGCGGAAGCACAAACAAGCATGAGAGCAGATGTTCAGGCTCGGTTTTGCCTTTGCAAAGAAACTCCAAATGCACGCATGGACGTGCATCCGCGTACATGTGAATGCAGCACCTAATAATAAACTTATATATAGAACTGAATCTACATAAAAGACTCAAGGAGATGAGCTCCACCCACACAGAAGCTGAACCGGCCAGATACCCCCCCCCCTTGTTTTCATATTATGCAAGCTAAGCTAAGCTAAAATTGTCTGCCTCAGACGACCATAGCTCGCAACTACCCCCCTTGTCCCTCTCCTTTCTCTACATGGCACCCTTTCTCCTAATCTTGGTTGCGTTCATACCACTTGTGCTCTACGTTCCTTCCGTCTTCAGGCGAATAGAACGCCCACTCGTTATCAGTCCAGAGCACCTTGTTGCAATCAGACTCGCCCTCTTCTTTGATTCACAAACATGCAAACAGATGGTGATTCACACTGGCGCCAAGTGCCCACTCAAAGGTCAGAAATATGGAAACCACGAACACAGTTCAGATGCAAACTCGCTTCAATAGGCTATGGCGCATCAGCACCTGTACATCGCAACTCTCGTCACTGTGTCCAACACCTCTGTTCGCACACACTCGACTCTGGATCACCCTGAATACCCCACGCACACGTACTCTGTATCACAGACACACACACACACTAACAGCTATCTCTAACCTATGGCGGCTATGGCCGCTCGCTGCTACTATGGCTACGCTATCTTCTTTCATCCCACTTCAACTTCGGGCTCTCTGCAGACCACCTCGCACAAGACGCTGGGGCAGCGCTTCCGCATGGCTTACGCACCGAATAAATGAAAAGCTGGGCGCTGCCTCTTGATTTATACTTCTGTAAGTCGTTGGTCTGCCCTTTTTCCACCGGGCCCATGGTGCACACAGTCCCTCATGGTACTTGCTGACTGTGCAAAGTGAGACTGGGACTGGGTACCGCTGACTAAGCGAAGTTGGACTCCACCACTTGCCCACTTGCCTCTGGTCTGCTATGTAAAACGTAAGAAGAACTTGAGAGGCCACTTCCGGACCTTCTGGAAGTTTGCAGACTTGGCCTTTTAAGACTAGCAGCTACGACCTTGACCTTTCAGAACTTCAACAACTACGACCCCTATGCAGGTGTGACCCCTTCTTCGATAGGTCTAAGGTTCAAGACCCTACAACTACTCAGACCTACGACAGACAACGTCAACTACTACCACACAGGTTACGGGTTCAAGACTCACAGGGTCGACTCTATACTGTACACAGGTAAGGTAAGGTAAGGCGAGGTCTGTGGATCGAACTCTGGGATCCGCACCTGTCTGCAAAAAGGTGAAAACCGTTTCACTCCCGCCGGCCTAAATTCGAGGTCCTCCGAGAATACTTCAGTCTAAGGCAGGATCTTTACCCTTCTTATCTCTCTCGTAGGCTCGAACTATTTCGGGAGCTGTCTCTAGAAGTTCTGTTTCGGGAGCCGTCTCTAGAAGTTCTGTTCGCGTGAACCAGCGGGTCGTCTTCTGGCTCTTGAAAGGAAAATCTAACCTTATACTGTTTCTGTGGACGACCTCTACCTCCCGTCCGAAAGATATCTTCACCTACTATCCCATCAATATCGTACTTTCCATCCATATCTGGAGGAATCATAGATCTCCGGGATAGAAACTGTCGACTTGTGACAAAAGGCAACAGTTTTGATGCGTGGAAGACTCGGTAGGTGTGGAGGTGTGCTGGAATCTCAATGGTATAGAGCGACCTCCGCCCTTGACTTCTAAGACTGGCCACGGTCCTCGATATGCAGGCAGCAAATTCTGCGAGATGTTTTCCTCAGGAGCGAACTCTTTTGACTTGACCCAAACTAAGTCACCTACTTTGAAACTGTGAGGGGCGACGGTGCTTATTAGCTTGTTCTATCATCCTGTGTTGGGCCTTCCTGAGGTTATTAATAATGGTAGCGATCTCTTTCTCGTGCTGTATCACAAACTCTCGGGTACCGGGCGGTAGTCTTTGAATCTGATCCCGGTTCAGTCCCTCAAACAGTCTACGCAGTCTAAAGGACTTGTGTAGTTTGTTGGGAGTGCAACACGTGGCTAGGTGCACGCTGTTATTGATCGGGCCTAATGTACATTCTGAGAACTTGTTGCAGGATCTTATTCATCTGTTCAGTCTAGCCAGATGACATCAACAACTTTGACCCATAAACTTTCATTAATTCCTGCCAGTTTTGACTGGTGAACCTGGTGTCTCTGTCACTAACTATCGACAGCGGTATACCATGTTCACTGACCCAATGATCAAAGAACTTTTGAACTACTAAATCTGTTCGTGCCTCTGCAGGCAGAGGAACAGAAACTGCATACTTGCTAAACCTATCAACTATAACCATGACTCGACTTTTGCCATGCCTACTCTTGACTGAGAAGACAAGGAGGGGCTCGCGTAGTAGTCTTGTTTCGCTGACAGACTTTACAACTGCGTACATACTCTATGCAGTCCGCCTTCATACCGGGCCATATATACGCGTGCATGAGGTTGGCTAGTGTCTTTTGCCAACCAAAGTGTCCCTCCGTGTCGTGGCATTCCCCTAAGATCAGACTACGGATCTCCTCACTGTTAGGAACACACAGACAGTCAAACTACATTAATCTTCTCAAATAGCAACCCATCAGTAGTGCGGTAGTCTGGTTCGGACTCCGGGGCCTCCTTAACTCTCTTGAGGAGGTCACTGTAGATACGGTCCTGCGCATATGCTCCTCTTAACTTTTTGCTGCAGGTCTCTCCCTATATCCAGATAGTTAACTATCGATCCAAAGTAGTCAGCTGTCCTACTCAGAGCGTCCGCCACTACATTATACTTCCCTTTGACTGGCTTAAGTTCAAAGTCATACTGATCTATTTTTGTGGCCCACCCAATAAGCTTAGGTGTCATCTTGGCCTGGGTCTTCAGCCACCGTAACGTCTCGTGGTCTGAAGTGCCTCCCAAGCAGGTAGTTTTTCCAATGATCTAATGCTTGCCTGAGAGCGTAGAGTTCTCTCTCGTAGGTAGATGTCGCAACCTTCTCTGAAGGCATACTAGCAGACGTGAACTCTACGGGTCTATATCCCATCATCTTGTTGTAGAACAGCACCTATACCGTACTGACTTGCGCCAGTGGTGATGATAAAAGGCAAGGATGGATCGGCTACCTTGAGGACTGGGTATTCTATCAAGGCGCGCTTTCACTTTTTCAGGGCCGACGTACAATCTCCATCCCACTTCCAGATCGTCTCTTTCTTTAACAACCTGCGAAGAGGTGCAGTGATGGTAGAAAAGTTCCTCACAAACTTTCTATAGTAGTTTGCTAGGCCTAAAAACGACCGCAGTTCTGTCAATGGGCGGGGCGTTGGCCAATCTCTGATCGTTGCTACCTTGTTATCCTCAGGTTTTATGCCGTCTCCAGCTAAGACATGGCCCAAGTACAAGGCTTGTGTCTTGGCCCACTCCCACTTCTTCGCGTTGATCTCGAAGTTAGCCTCTTTGCGCTTCTCCAAGACCTGCCTCAGATGGCCCTCGTTCTCCTAGTGGGTCTTGCTAAATACTAGAATATCATCTAGATATACTACCACAAACCTATCTAACCATGGCCAAAACAAATTTTTCATACAGCGTCGGAAAGCAGCTGGTCCATTGGTTAGTCCAAAGGGCATGACTATAAACTCGTAGTGCCCATATCTAGTCCGGAATGTTGTCTTATACTCGTCATCAGGATGAACCTCTATCTAATGATAGTCGGACTTTAAATCTATCTTCGAAAAATATTTGCAGCCCTGCACCCAACCTAACAAGTCGTCTATCCGAAGCAGTGGTTCTGCATTCTTCACTGTGATAGCCTTACGACCCCTATAGTCTATACACATCCTGAGCTCTCCCTCCTCCTTGGTCACAAAAAACAGGTGCTCCGAATGGAGACGAACTTGACCTAATGCAACCCTTCTTTAGGAGTTCATCTAGCTGCTTACGCAACTCCTCTTAACTCCTTTGGGGACATCCTGTAGATAGCACCTTTAGGAGTCCTACTGCCAGGCTCTATTTCTATGCGATGCTGTATCGGCCGCTGCACTACTCCTGTAGGTGGCGTAGCTAAGTCTATGTACTTCTCCAACAGCTTGGCAATAGCAGGGTCTATGGGTTTTAAAACCTGTTCTTCTAATTGCTCCTCCACCAATCGCGCGAACGTGGGAGCACTGAGGCAGCAATGTGCCAGAGAGTTGTCTACTCCTGACACATGAAACAGACGAGCCGTCTTAACTTCGTTTGTTGGACTAGGGAGCCTACACTCGTGCTCTCTTGAGTGGAGTGTGGCCCCTATCCTCTCTGTTATGAACTTGGTTGTCTGACGAATTTTATCGCCACTCACACACAGACAATCTCATACATGCCCATACATGCAGAAGAGAAGGGGAGAGAGGAGACAGAGTCCAAACTGCACACAGGTGAAGATAAACAGCGGAAGACAAACATGCACAGATGGGGAGAAGACACACAGTGTTTCTCACTCTCTGACACAACTCCCAACAACCAATCACAACAAAGAACCTGCGAAGATCACAATGAAAATGACGCTGATGATGAGCCACTCGTACAATTACCGTAACAGAGTTTGTTCCAGTATCTCGCCACACTCAGAACTCACACCCCACTCTCTATCCTACACTCAGTTAGTAGCGCTGCATCAGAACAGCCTCTCAGAGGCCAGCACCAACCACCCTGATGAAGAACAGGTCATGCGATGA